TAAATCCATTATCTTAGTGTTAGCATCCCTTGAAATGCTGCTTAATCCATTCGAATCAGGCACCTCCTGCACTCTTCTTCTCGCCGTCAGGATGCCACTGATGTTCTTTACATGTCCATCTCTGAGAATGTTTGGCTGCTGTTTCCCATGGGTTGAGGATTGTATGGCATCCTTTTTTCTAGGAAAGGACGGGTCTATTAATTCACTTTGCTTAGACTTCAGTTCCCTCTCTGACTCCTCAGGTATAGGTAAGAGCACCGGTTTGACCTTGGATATGTCCTCAGGTGTCTCGTCAAGTGAGGGGTTAAATATTTTTACTTCTCTGCTCATCTCAGACCTCTGATCTGTGGTGCCTTGGTTTGGAAAACTCCTTGGGGCAATGTTCCATTCCTGACTTTCCAAAATGGAATGATCAAGCCTCTTCACGCCATCCTTGATGGTTCCCTCACTTTCTGATGTATCTCCTTGCAGTAAGGTTGAAGTTAAGAGCTGGACCACTTGTTCTCCACTATGACTTCTATGACTTTGTGTCTCCTTGATGCTGATGTTATGCCTTGGAATTTGAGGTCTTCTTTCCTTTTCCTCGCCGTATTCTTTCTGTCCACTTCTCTGGATACTATGTCTGTCTTTACATTCTTGGCAGTCCCTCCTTAGCTGGTTAACAACTTCCTTTAGGTCCTGCAGCTCTTTGGCCATTTTCTCCAGCTCCCTAAAAGGCCTGGGAAGCTGGATGGAGAGGGGAGGGATGGTGAGTTGATAAGGGCACAAGTTCTCCTCGTCCCCGCAGTGCCCCAGGGGCTTCAGCGTTACCCATGAAGCAATGTCCTCTGAGGTCTCTAGGCAGATGTGACACACAGAAAATGCTAACAGGCTTCCCCATATGTAAAACACAGCAAGCCACATCATGTCCTGTATGGTGAGCAGGTCTGTTCAATGTGTCGAAGAGTGTGTGAGAGAGAAGAATCAGGAGAGACTGAAGGACCACCTCCCTTTATAGAAGTATGAGAGGGGCGATACTCTGTGATGACTCTCAACAGAGGAGTGTAACAGCCTCCTATCAGAACAGTCAGCACAGAATATACTCAATATTTCAATAATATTTAGCACATTACTGTGCCTTCTTTGTTCATTAGTATGTAGTGATTGACCACACTGTGCATATACACATTAAAACCTGAGATTAATTAGTCTTTTGTTGTTGATGATGTTGTTTCCCCAGTTTCAATTTCTAAAAATTCTTAAAGCAAGATAGCATTTAACATTGCATAATACATGCTATAGAGAATAGAGAATGTATATTTTATTTTGTCTTACTGTACTGGCAGTGAAAGCGAGTTTAAAAACAAGAAATAAAATCCGCTAGTGCAGTAAGATGCATTGAATAAAAGATACAGCATTAATATCTTATCTCAGTTAAATTTATGTTTTAAGGACAAAATACTTAAGACAAAAAGACTTAATGATTTTTTTTTTTGTAGAGTTGCAATCAACAGCCAACATGTCTTTGTTTTAAGCATAGTTTGTTTTCCAGTGGTGTCCATAAAACAATTACTCTTATTTTTATTTATTGTTTAAAACATTTGATTGCATATTTTCTTGCAATACCGAACACACTGTCATGACAACTGGTAATAATTCATAGGAGATGGCAAAATTATACAATATTTTAAAATTTAGATCATGCAAACAAGAGGTTAGGTTTTACTGGTCAGGTTTTTTTTATTACAGTCATGGGTTAAGGGTTTAGGTTTGGGTTGTACATTTTTGTTTTCAGGGTTTTTATTTTATTTCATTCATTCAATCATTCATTCATTGGTTTTTGCAATCTCATAAAATTATTAAGAATTCACAAGTTGCAATACCTGCTATTTTATGTATATACAGTGAAACAGCATGCACATTGCTTATCATATATATTTACATTATTTTAACCTTTTTAAGGGCATCAGAACTGAGAAGCACAATATGATTTGTCAAAGTCATTTGTGTTAGCTGACCCTGACTTTTAATCAAAACCATCACACTTACAATCAATCTTTAATCTAGAACACAATGCATATGTCATTTCCTTTCTCACATGTGCAGATATGCATATGTGCAAGAATCATGATGGCAGCAGCTTCCCAACATCCTGCCAATAAAGCAGCATGCCCCACACACATAGACATATGCACACAAGCCACAGAAGATTCAGAGATGTAACGCTAAAAGGCGACAAGGCATATTCAGACGGTACGAAGTTATTTTTGTGTTTCTGCAACATACTTTGAATTAAAGGTATTTTTCTCACAAAACCTCTAACAAGTATGAAACAAATGACTGTTTTTCAGCTAACTCAGACATCCTCTAAGAAGTCTAATCCCATCTGGACAGGAGTGCGTGATTGTGGTGTTTATATAGTGATTATGATATTGTCTTATATAAAATGTAATTGTGACACATATTCTGAGCTATTGCTCTTTCCCATTCAAGATGATGACTACTGTACAAATAGCTGCCCAGAAGCATTACCATGTTGGCCAATTTAGCTGACTAAATTGTCTTTAGAGGATTTGGGTAATGGACAATGGACAACTCAAATGTTGATGAGATCTGGCGACCCCACATCAAACTGAAAATGTCATTACGAGAAATGTTGTAACAACCATATAAACAATGGAGTCATAGTAGTCCAAGCGTTAAGCAAGAGTGGCAAACGTTACGTCCAAGTGTCTTTAATATCAAGAAAATCCCTTAACCAATGTTTACAATGTCAACCTGTGTCCAAACAGAATTGATTGTCTTTAAAGTACTGACTTCACAATTTTTTATAGCGCTCAGCAGTGGTTGTATTACAAGCCAACTCCCAGTTTTATTACCACTAATCAGAAAAGACTTACCATTTATGGACAGGACTATTATTGTGTGGTGCCCTTATGATGTCACAGTCTGAAATCCTCTGGGATGGTTCAGCCCATCGGTGTTGTTGTCTGTGTAAACACTGAGATTTTTCCATAAACCATCTCACAGAAACATTTGACCCACCGGTTGGGTTTGAGTACCACATTAGCGACCGCTATTCCAACACATTTGCGTGATGTGGTAGTGGTTATTATGTAATTGTGATAAAAGAACAGACAAGTGCACTCAGACTCTTTCCTAACAGTTATATAACACTAATGAGGCAAATCTGTGGGAAACCCAATGCAAGCGAGTTGGCTGCTTTTATCCAGATTTTCAAACTGGAGAGGAGACATCTGGAGTTGATGGTTACAGAGCATCAACAACAGATAACGTCAAGACTGCTTGTTTGCATTACAAAAGCCTTGACTTCGTTAAACCATTGGCTAATGCTTGCAGATTCCTCTCATTGTTGCATGCAATGAAACGGGCGACGTCTTGACTTCAGGCTTTTGTTTCTCAGTGATGAGTTTCTTGGCTTTAATTTAAACAGTTTGATTGTTAATTTGTGCAGGGTTTCAACTCAATGCACGAACGTCTTAAATTACTCTAATTGTAATGTAATAAATATGCCAAATCAAATTTCGGAATCAGTAATGGTGTCAGACGTGCAGTATGAGAGACCACAGGATAGTGGAAAAAGTCAAAATGACACAATTTAAATTTTTGGGCACACTATTCCTTTAGAGGTCAGAAACTGATCTGTAGCAGTTGTAACGACAGGGTGTGTGAAAATAATTGTGTAGCTGATTTTTTTGAAGTTGCAGATTAATAAAACATGACATACAGTCTGCCTTAAGTCAGCTGTGATTTAAAACATGCAAAGCTGCAAACATAAAACGCTGCAAAGTTATTCTGCCAAACTGACTTTTTTTAACTTGGGACACAGAGTATAGATTGTGTCACATGTAGAGAATAGTGCATACAAATTTCAAAATTTCTTTTCTATTGCATTTCAGCTGAAAGGAAAAATGGCCACTGCTGCAAAATATATAACATGAAATCTCAAAATAAAGCATTTAAAGCTATTTTGTAAATCGGGCCGCTAGATTTTTGAGAATGTTTGTTAGTTTGCTTGTAAATAAAACTGAAAAAGTTTTGTTAGCCACGCCCACTATGAGATTTCATTGGTCCGTAGCTATTTTTGTAAACTGGATAGCTAGATTTTTGAGGGGGTTTTTTTTCTTCTCTTGAAAAAGTTGTTAGCCACGCCCACTGTGAAATTTCATTGGTCAGAGCTATTTTGGTAAATGTGGACGGCTAGACTTTTTAGTGTTTTTTTTTTCCAGAAAAGGTGTTTTTTCCTCCTGAAAAAGTTGTTAGCCACGCCCACTGTGAAATTTCATTGGTCCAGAGCTATTTTGGTAAACGTGGACGGCTAGACTTTTTAGTGTTTTTTTTTTCCAGAAAGTTTTTTTTCCTCCTGAAAAAGTTGTTAGCCACGCCCACTGTGAAATTTCATTGGTCCAGAGCTATTTTGGTAAACGTGGACGGCTAGACTTTTTAGTGTTTTTTTTTTCCAGAAAGTTTTTTTTCCTCCTGAAAAAGTTGTTAGCCACGCCCACTGTGAAATTTCATTGGTCCAGAGCTATTTTTGTAAACGTAGCAGGCAGCTAGATTTTTGAGTCTTTTTTTCCAGAATACGTTTTTTTCTCCCGAAAAAGTTGTGGTAGCCACGCCCACTGTGAAATTTAATTGGTCCAGACTCCAGAATACCGCTCCGCAGTTTACATTTGCATTTATATTTTCCCAAATGGCAAACTGTATATCCCCACACAAACAGTAAATGAAAACTTCAGAGAGTGAAAACACTGATAATACATATTTATATACATACACATTTATACAAATTCAGAACACCCATACCCGTGTCTTTTGTCTGATTTTATCATCTCGTTTTAATTTTCTTTTCTTTTTTTGTGGACTATTCATTTTTTAATTGTAGTTTTAATACACGAAGACAATAGGCCACAAATGCAACATAAAAAATTCCACTTTGAGAGAGAGAGAGAGACACAATGATATCCACATTTATGAGAGCACATAAAACCAGCAATGCGCTCTCAGAATCTGGACATGATATGAAGATATTTGGGAGCCTACAATGTCCTGTCTAAGAGCTGCTAGAAAACAACTATAGTCTCATTAAGCGAGAACTGCAATTTCTTGCACACACCCCTCGGTGGATTGCTTCATGAGCAATGCAAACTCTTTTCATATATATTTTATGTCTATTACTTGTAGCAGCTGTTAATTTGAATTAAAGGATGTACAGAACCTGATTTTTTTTCCACTGACGAAGCGTCAGGTGTGACAAATAGACATAACTATCTATAAATGTTTATGTCATGCTCTTGAAGGTGTCCTATACGTTTTTGGTAAAGGGGAAGGGTCATCCAATGAAGTATAACCAGTGCAAGACGCTACCTAAACACAGAATAGATCAAAGGTCTGGTAGTCTTAATGCTGAGTGCAGTTTAAGTAGCATAACACTTTTTTTTTTAATTGTTTAACAACAGTTTGGCATTCAGTTATGTTTATATAGCACCACCCATTGATCAGGTTAACATTCTAAATCTGTATTTACGCAACCATTATGACATATCAAGAGAACGAAATTAAAATTGCATTCACGACTCAACTAACACTGCATATTTTCAATGCTGCACCAGTATTAAGACTACAGACTGTTACAGGCTCTTAGAGGGCTCCGGTTTAGTTCAGGTGAGAAGTGAGGCCAGAGAGACAGTGGAGGTTGGAGTGGAGCTGGAGGGTTCGATCATGGCCAGTTTGGTTCTGGAGGTCCAAAGCAGGGTCCAGGGAACTGCAGCTCCACACTGACTCACCATCCCAGGCTCCCACTAAAACCCAAAAAGACTGACACATATGTAAATCAAATCATTTGCAGAAAATGATTTAATACTTGTAATTAAACATTTGAACTTAAGTGTAAATATTGTTTAAAATAATGACAATGGAATAGATTTTAGGGCCGTCAAGTGATTAAAAATTCTAATAATTGGCATTAATTACATGTAATGATGATTAATTAATCACATTTATTACAAAAGATCTGCCTGATATTTGTAATATCAAATAATATTTAAACAAAATCATAATATTAGAATAATATTTGGTTGAATTTATTATTATGGTTTTTGTGTGCAGGTTGGGGATGATTCAACTGACATTTTTTTATTGCGTTAGTTTATATATATATATATATATATATACTGTATATATACAGGGCTCGCAAAATCGCTAGCCCGACGTCCCGGGGCTATTGTGTTTTCCAGTCGGGCTACCAAAATGTATCCAGAAAAGTTGCATTTTCATTCAATCTTTCCTATAATGCCTGATGAAGTAGCGTTTATGAGCGTAGCGCTGCTTTGTGTACTGTGCTTACCGGGGAAAGCACTATATTTCTGCCGTTCTTACGTTCCTATGTTTTTACGCAGCAAACACATAGAGTTGTAAATGAGAAAGAAGTTAATGTGCCTTCTAAAAATCTAAACAATTAAGACAGTAATATTTATACGTTTTAAATTGACATAATAATTGACATGCTTGATTTATCCCTTTTCATAATAATGGTCTAAAGGCTGAAATGCTGTTGTATAAGATTTTTGTTTTTGTGAAAACCTGTATCTGAACTGTAAACCATGTAATTTTATGGCTCAATACTGTATGTTATCATAGACATTGTCCAACCTCACTCATACTGTGTTAATTTTACTTCGTCGAATCCACCGGCTGCCGCTCACTCAAGCCCGCCGTGTGTGACGCTGCGTTTCGTTGTAAAAGCAAAACAACTTTGTTTGGCCTTCCAAAAGAGGACACAACTAGAAATCAGTGGTTAAGTTGTATTTACAA